GGGTAGGTCGTGCTCATGGGTAATGATCATGAATGTTCTATTGATGGTATCGGTATCGTTCGGATTAGGATGAGTGGCGAAGTGATTCGAGAGTTGGTTGGAGTGGGGTTAATTCCTCAGTTGAAGAAGAACATCATTTCACTTGGAGTTTTGGAGGTAGCAGACTATAGGGTGACCTTGGTCAATTCACGTTTGAAGGTCACATTGGGATCCATGATTGTGATGAAGGACGTCAGGAGGAATAATTTGTATTATTTGATTGGGAGCACGGTGTTTGATAGAGAGCCGACGACTTCTTTAGATTTGGCTAGACTGTGGCATTTATTGAGGCTGAGTTATTTGATTGGTTATGTATGGTTTGTTGAGGAGTGATTTGACCTGCGGATTGAAGTCTTTTGAGCACATTAGTATGAGCAAGAAGACCGAGGTGGAGTTTGGTACTTCTATCCATCTATCGAGGGGTCTTTTAGGAGGTGTTCAGTTAGGCATTTGGGGGCCTTCCAAAGAGACATCATTAGAAGGTAATCGGTATTTGGTTATCGCAGTTGAGGATTGTTCTAGGTATTGGTGGGTTGCAACCAGGTTCCGTTGGTGTCAAGTCCTAGAAGTCAACAACAATTAGAAGAAGTGTATTGGCAGAAAGGTAACCCGTCGTTCTAGCTTTGGTATGGTTTGTTGAGGAGTGATTTGACCTGCGGATTGAAGTCTTTTGAGCACATTAGTATGAGCAAGAAGACCGAGGTGGAGTTTGGTACTTCTATCCATCTATCGAGGGGTCTTTTAGGAGGTGTTCAGTTAGGCATTTGGGGGCCTTCCAAAGAGACATCATTAGAAGGTAATCGGTATTTGGTTATCGCAGTTGAGGATTGTTCTAGGTATTGGTGGGTTGCAACCAGGTTCCGTTGGTGTCAAGTCCTAGAAGTCAACAACAATTAGAAGAAGTGTATTGGCAGAAAGGTAACCCGTCGTTCTAGCTTTGGTAGGGGTTTTTTCTTGCATTTGTGCCGAGCTCATGGCAGTTTGAGACACTTTATTGATGTTGAGACATTGGGGTGACGAGATGAGATAATAGTTTTGATGGGTCGTTCCTTACTGGAGGGGGATCAGCGTTGGTTGTCGAGCATTGGTTTTAGTTTTGGAGCTTCGACATATTTGGGTCATCTTGGTCATAGGTTGTCGACTGCTACGTGTGAAGATTTTGGATCTGATAGAGCTGCTTCAGATTTTAGGTTGCGTCGAATATTTAGTTGCCCAACATTTGGTCACATCGAGGATGTGAGATTTGATCCGATTGCACGTTTAGGATTTGGAGGTTCGTTTGATTATCAGTTAGGAGCTTCTGATTTTGTTCTGAACAGGTATGTCACATTTGACTCTCGGCAGGTGGAGCGTGTTGATCAGATTATTGAGATATCACAGCGGGTGGAGGGTGATGCTACTTCACATTGGGTGGAGATTACTCCACATACTCCAGATCATACTGTATCGTTTGGGATTCTAGCTGAGGTGACAAAGTTTGGAGATCATTTGGATTTGGATGCAGATGATAAGTTGGTTTTGGATTCGAGTGCAGCTGATGGACATGTTTTGAATATGACCATTGGTTCACCTCAGGTGGAGGTGTTTGATTTGTTTTAGTTTGGGGCCATTGGGAACGCTATCAGTTGCAGATCCATTGTAATATTAGTGAAGAGTTGCAAACTTTTTTATTTGATTGAGGGCCTTTGGAGGCCGTTTGGGTAAACTACATGAATGCTTGATTCCTTGGGCAAGAGGATATGTAGGCAGCCTTTATGATGCAACCGGTTTGGTGAGTTGATACCGACATTTGGAGTTTGTTTGCATTCTCGTTTGGGTTCTTGACTTGTTGTGGATTGAGTATGTTGTCGTGGATTTGTTCCACTTCATACTGGACGCAACAAGTGAGACGTTTGGTTGGTATTTGTGTCGGGTCAGTTTTGGAAAAACTTCACCGAGGTGGAGAAAAAATATATTTTTTTGAATGTTGCATTATGATTTTCTACTATTTAAGTGTTTTGATTATCAATTCAAATTATTTTTAGTTTTGTAAAATAGTGTTTAATGTATGAGTTTATCCACTTATTGAGTTGTGAACTCATTGTGTTATATTTATTCTTTTCAAGGACTCGAGATTAGTGGAGTCACTTATTCCCAAATTATTAGAAGGGAGCAAGGAATAAAATTTACAGATTGCTACTTTTCTTCTAGGTGAAGGTTGAATAATGTCTTCAATATGTAGTTGACAATTAGAAGCTTATAATAATGGAATATTTTCCTTTAGGTTGACTTTTATTTCAAGTTGAGCAATATTTATTTATCTCAAGTTAATTAGATTCTGGAATATAGAAAATATTTATTATTGGTTTTAATTCAATGATGAGATTATTTTGGTGGTATTTTGATGAATGTAGATTTTTGGAGGATATTTTCACAGGTTTAATCTCCTCCAGTATTCCCTCTAGGTTTGAAATTGGGGTCATGACAACTCTATTGGTTGATGATTTTGACGTTCAAGTCATTGTTCAAAAGTAAAAAATATGCTATGGACATCTGCAAGTGTAAGATTATAAAGCCTTGTGTAGATCGAAACAACAAATGGATAATATACAGATTCGAGGCCTCTAAGTATGTAATCAATAAGATTAGAGTTTGGGATCACATCTATCAGAGCAACCCAAATTAAAATCCCATCAACCATGAATTTAAAGTAGATTTTCTAAAAGTTGATACCACTGCGTGAATCCAATTTCGACCTGTAAAAAGGGCGCCCAACTTGTGAGGGCATGTTAAAATATAAAACAATAATCCTCAATTATCAACATAACTTTGGAGTTTTGATGTAATGGTTAGTGAAATTTTAACATGGTATCAAAGCAATCTAGGTCCAAATCCCACTAGCCATGCATTTAAAAAGCTA